TGCGAGGGTAGTAATCCTACTTTCATGCGGTAGTTATATCGACTACACAAAATCTCAGCGTATAAATATAAATGTATATATATATAAGATTTTAGCAAATTTTTAGTTGTCGTGTAGAGACGAATGCATCGTCGAATTTTATTTTTTTAACAAGTAGCAAATGTATCCAATTCGCTTTGAAGGCAAAATACACAAAAATGATACGCAGCATTTTGAATGTAAGATATGGTGATGCCAAATTTTGGTGTTTTGGATAAATTAGTGTTTAACGTCTTTTACGATCACGTGTGTAGAGTGCGTGAAAACTATATTAAAGGAAGCAAGTTGAGATTCCACGTCTTTATTTTTCCAGTCGTATGTCAACACTATTACGAAACTTGTTTAGTCGAGTCTTTCTCTTAAAAATAACGACAACTTAATTGATTGTGCCTGCGGTTAGAAGATATTTTAATTTTTATAATAAATAATATAATCACATTTCTCCTACCAGATGTCAACACATCCCCTATGGCATGATATATATATTACTTGCTGATAACGAACTCCATTCATAAGCTAATCAACTGTGTGGAAAAGTAATTTTTCCAAATGGTCATAATACACCGTAAATACACCAGCAAAACAATGTCGCCGACTTAAATCGGAGAGTTAAGCTGTTGCGTCGGACGTTAACAATATCTCTTCGCAGTTTTCCCCTTTGGATTGATTAAGGGTTTCGCTTCAACCGCCGTATGGATTCCCGAAACCAAATCCCCCACAAGTCGTCCAGATCATATCAGATTTATACCTTTCACATCTTATAACTTCAGCCCAAAGTGTGGAAGCCAAAGCCTTATGATTGTTTACCGATCACCGAGCGCAGCGAACTCTAGACTAGAAGAAAAATGATGGTCTCGGCTGAGGAACTCCTGTTCTTCACCCGGACAGGTTTTTAAAATAACGGGCGCCTTCTCTCGAGGCTCAGCCGCTTGTCGTCGACGAGATTCATAACTGTCCCTCTAAGCAAACATTTTACGACCCGTCTTCGACGAATCTCTTTTTTGCTAATAAAGAGCGCTGCTTAATCGGGGCCTTCTTAAGCTTCTAGTACTACCATTCGATTCCCTTATATCATATGTATCTCGAGATGTGACGTTAGGAATGCTCTAGGTTATGAAGTAACTTGTACTTGACTTAAGTTTGCGCGTGCCTTGGACTTCTAAAATTCGCAATTTATTGGTTTGCCTGATTTACTGAATCACCAAGCCATTTACGTGGCTTTTTCTTTAACATAATTCCTTACACATATACGCGATGAAACAAGGGACATTTTGATCTTCGCTCGCTCTGCAATATATCCTTCGATCGCCGACACTTGATTCGCCGACACCACTTTCGTGGGCAACAATTCGCCGACACTCGATTCGCCGACACCCTGGTCGCAGACCAAAATTTAGTTAGATCTTGGTTCGACGACATTCAGTTCGCTGTCGGATAAATTGTTTATAGATGCCCAGCGAAAATTCTTCAGTCTACAATAGACAGAATTGTTTTTGATCAGTAGGATCGAATCAGCATTTTCATTCTGGTGTGAGGTATCGACGAGAAAATAGTATGTGAAGTTTAAATCGATCGACACGATGTATATTTTCTGTGAGGAATATCTTGCGAGCTACCATAGGATAAATATACATAACGCAAGATCGTATTAATATGTACCGAAAAATGCAGTGTAAAAAGCTGCACCCACTTTTTCTTATGCAAGTCATTCCGATCGACAAACGATCCTTGCCGATGAATTGGCAATGGATCATTTGAGAGATGAGCCCTCTTATGGAGGCCCTGGACAACATGTGTGATGAATTCACAGAAGGATGACGTATAGTACACACTTTCAGAAAATATTTATGCTACAAAGGTACCAGCACCGACGCTAGTATCGAAAAAATAGCTTAATCAGAGGTATGTCAAATGTCTCCACCCATGTGTTCATGTATCTGCCGGGTGCCTAGTTCCAGGTCTCATGCGTATTGATCGACCCCCCTGTACGTAAAGGCACTCCACTGTCATGATTTAAGAATGTTTTATCATCATATATGGGATTAAACATGCCCCGGTCTATTTTTACATATGTGCGTTAAATCTGTTAAGACTCATTCGAGAAGTTTTATTCGACAATGTTGACGATTTGTCGTCAATAGTTGAGTTGTGAATAATATTACAGACGTAGTACAAAACAATTACAGACGTAGGACTACATGAACTTCACTTCCTAAGCTTAATTGCACTTCTGCGTGATGATATTTTGTATGCCGACTTCTCGACGAATATATATTATAGTATATATAGCAATACCATTTATTGCATCATGTGTAACGTGGTACTTCGCTTGTAGCACGACAGTGTAAGCTTACCTACAACGATTACAGTGTTGACAACTGCCTTATTATTTGACGTACACAGAGTCCAGAGGAAGAAAATCAAATATTTAGAGCACAGCCGAAGACAGCAGAGAACCATGTGTTTTATGATGAGACATATTCTAATAAAGACAATAAACATGTCGTTACTGTATCTTAGTACGCCAAAAATTATAATTATTTATTACCTCCCATTGTGCGCGTCTATCATCAATCGGTCGCTTTCTCGGTTTTAATAATGGCTTACATGAATCAGTTAGCAGAAGTCACTGAAGCTTCCTTTTCAAATTGAAAGTGTAACTTGTAAAGGTTTTCTTCGCATTGGCATTATCGAAGCTTATTGAATGAGGCCATCCGATTGTAACAAGGCACGCTTTTACCTATTACTAGTAAAACCTTGTGTATTTTAAACACAAGAATACGTGCTCCCGGACGTCAAGTACATGTGGGCGTTGAGAAAGCGCGAGGTAGAAGACAAAGCTGAGGAGGCTACGAGTAGGGGAACTGTAGCTCTGTATTCAACATATTATCTTTTTTAATCAACTCTCTTTGTCTTAGATTAACTACATTATTTTCGATATCCTATGTTAATATTCGTCCACCACCCATTGGCGAGCCTAGCATCGATTGATTGTTAATCGGTTGATATTATGGTATGTATTAACCAAATCTGTAAAGAAGGCAAATTTGTAAGTCTTGAAGGTAATGTACCACAAATATTGTATTTGCAAGGTAATATCGATACATGTTACTAGCTAGGTAAATATTCGCATTAATATACAAAGTACAAATGACATGTAATGGGCTTCCCCGTTACACGGGACACTGTGCTTTTAATATAATATTATCAGCGATCTAAACAAATGACATCCAACAGATATACGCAAATACCACGCACAATTTAGAGCGTAGATAAAGAGCAGTCTATTTAAATAGTAATGCGTAGCTAAATGGCAAAAGAGAGCTTTATGTTTTTGTCAGTCCACTTACAAATTATCATTAGAGTTTCATCTAAGCTTTTTTTGGGTGGGACAACCTTTTTATATGTAATTGACAGGACATTGGGTCAATCAGAATATATACTCGACTGACAATATTCCTCAATATGTTTAGCTGAGTTAAAGTGATAGGAAAAGTACATTCGAAGGTAACATTCGGCACCACTCTACTTACTGATTGTTATAGGCCATGATATCACCCGATTTATCCACCATTCGCTGCTAGACTCGCGCGATGGGTGGTGAGCGGGTAGCTACATTTGAATTTGTAGTTTAATGTCGTTAAAGTAAGATTAACTGCAATTTTACAAGGAGATTCAACGATATCAGATACGATTCCCTTTTTTCCATATTATTGTATTCGCTCAAGTGATAGGCCTTCTTCGGCACGTACACTTACACGAGGAATCGAGTCACCTGCCTAAATTGTGTAAGTAGAGGTAAATTGTAAGGTGTCATTTCAAGCGGAGGTTGTCACGTTTCAGTTTTAAACGACATTGACGTATGCGGTGACATCTTGCTGACTACTGATTGCGCGCGCCTACATTTAACGGTGGGGTCATCGACATACTGTACGTTATAACCTATATACGACAATGCTAATTGTCATCAACAACGAGGAATCCCATCGCCAAAGGTAACGTTTCTATCAATATACTTAATCAATGTCAATTTGTGTGATAGGATCCGCCTCACCGATGATACTGCACAGCTCACGTTGGTATGCCCACTTTTACATCTAAACTCTATACTTCCGCATTCTCAATGTTGTCGAATGTTGCTACGGGCCTACTCAGCCGTCACTACCTATACTATCAGTGTGAGGAAGCGTACTCATTTTGTCGTGAGTTTATTGCAGCTTATATACAATCCGTCGTGGGGACAACACTTCAGGATTATGTGAGCTACTCAAATGCAGGTCGACTAGAGATAATACGAAATGGGTCTGAGTTCACAAGCTTCACAAAAACCGTCTTTCATTTTTCGAACCACGTAAATCACTTATCGCTGTGCGCAGCTGTATTTCAGCTGAGCTCCTACAAGGTCCTAACACGTGCCACATGCGGTGGCGCCTTCGCCAGCAATCTTCTAGGTAACGATGCAGTTTCACAGGTCGCCCCAGTCCCCCTGTTGCCGTCGCACATCGTGTCATGTTCAAAAATAGTGCACAACAGATTGCACCCATGCCGAATCGAGCACAACCGGACGCAGTATGGGCAGCGAATTTGGAATCACCCCAGAGAAGATTAGTACACTGCAGGGCGTCTTACAAACTACTCGTAGGTGCTGCGCCTCGTATCATGTCTTTTCCCGGAGGCTCTGAAGCCAAAACCAGCATTTCCCCAAGCGTTACACATTCGTCGCCATTTACAAGTTGAAGCGGTCCCATTAGGCGATCGACAAGGGCACATTGCTTGAGGCGAAGTCTGCCACAATTAGATGGCCGTGTTAATGAACAAAACACATTCGAAAGATACAAGCTGAGGTCAACGGTCTGTGTGTCGTTGTTCTTGGTCACTTTTCAACCATCAGGATGTCTTGCGTAACAGCTCTGTGAGACCACTGGGCTACTTTCCATTTCGTTTGGATCAACTTCGTTCGCTTAAGAGAGGTCAAAGCCCGCATTGGATCGAATGGCATACACCAATTTCCTGCGCATTGAGTTCTTATTGGAGTAAGCTGGTAGCTTGAGTAAATTCATGCACGTGGCACTAGACGGTAGCCGCTCGTCATCTTCAACGCGCACTTGGTGGATACCGATCTGTGGCACTAACTTAGAAAAGCCCAGCAACGGTTGGCGGGAACAACTCGTGATGAACTTGAGCAGTGCCGCGCGGTCTTCAGGCGTGAAGTCCTCCTTCACGATTTCCCAGAACCATTGGATGACTTGTTGAGATGGGTGGTATCCACCTCCATATTGAGTATGGCGCTCCCAGTCATCAATGTCAATGTTCGTGGCAGTGCCACCGATAAGCATCTGCAGCTCGGTTGGAGAAAACATTTGAATCCATGACCCCGGGATCAAGTCATGGAAGCCCGTCAAGAACGCTGTACACTCAATGGAAGTCAGCACATTCAACTTGTAGTTGGCCATTAAGTGTATGTAACGAATCCGATCATCGTTTGTAACGGGGACGTTAGAGCCATCAGGCAAGAGGTTACGTGTCACAACTTTATCAAACTGCACCTCGCTCACACTAAAAGTCAGCGCCAGATCCTCCACGTTGCCGTCATAGTGCTTAAGACGCATAAGCGATGTGTATAGCTCGGGATCCAATGAATGCAAGTCGTCAATGTAATTAAACTTGCCCAGGAGTTTGTTGAGAAAAAACGCGGCGAACTGTGGCTCCACGAGAATGTCTTCGAACACAGCTTTTGCTAAGACTCGCCCGAGAAAACGGTAGCGGTCCAGTGCCTCCTTTTGCGTGTCCACAATGTACTTTGCGTTGGGATCAGGATAAAGCAGGTGGTCATCTGTTTCCAGGAAAAAACCAAACTCTGGCGAAAACGCATTCCTCGTCAAGCTGTCCATGAACTCCTTGAACACGCCACCTCCGTCAATGCCTGCCTCCTCTAGGCCTTGGTCGTTAATAAATGTCACCTTGATGCGCGATTTAAGGGCTGCAGGAGACATGTTGTCGCACACTTGCCGGAAGAAATCATAACTGTCGCTCAAAATCTCACCGCGTTGTATCCGAACCTTCAAGGCCCGCGAGAATTCGTCGCGCGTGTTGCCAGCTTGTGCCCTGCCGTCTTCCACCAGCTTTTGAAAAAGCTGTACGCGTTCTTTGAACGACAATACTTGCGGGATCGTGACAAGGATCAGTGCTGCGCGTGCATACGGAGAAGATGCATTCCCACTCATTAGCATGTAGATCGCATCCGCACCGTGAGTTTTGTCCTCGTTCATCAGTCCTAGGTCAACAATATCTCTTATCGTAGGCATTGAAGGCCATAACCACGCGCCGTCATGCATAAAACGACGCCGACAATCCCGATCATATAGCTGGTTGAAGAGCCTAATTGAGGTAATAACGACCGAGAGTCTCACGAGATCTCTTTCCTCCAGGTTACCGGTTGGCAGCGCGTTGTCGCTATCACATGCCCAACACACATCGTAGATAAACTGTTTTAGCAATGTCACCAAGACTTTTACCTCGCTCAAGCGAAGTGGCCATTGTCCGTCATAAAACGTCTCATCGTCAAGTCCCAAAAGCATGTGAGAGTAGGCCAAGTTGAACAGCAGAAGCACCTGCAATGGCACCGTCGTTACATCAAGCGGACCGTGTTCGAGCGATCGCATTGAGGGCCGAGAAATGGCGCTCGTAACCTTTGAGATTATCCACTGCCACATGCTGTTGACGCGATTTCGATTGGGAATGGGAGAGGCAGGCCACTCGGCAAACTGATCGACCGTCATGGCACTTAACAAAGCAAGCATAGCTGACGGAGGGTTTGTAAAGTTTGCAGCCACACTCAGCACGTGAGACCGCCCTGTAGACAAAATTACAGTAGTAAGGATATCGCAAAGCTGACAAACAGCACTCTCGCCAGGCAGATCTGGCTCTGATGTCCCTTCTTTCATACGCAGCAGTACGTCAAGACACAGCACAGCAAATCTGGAGTAGCAAAGCTTTTGCCACTGCATACGGACACTCGGCTCTGCATCGCCGAGATCTTTTACACCGCGCTGCACTTCTTCGTCGATTGCAACGTCCTTGACAGGCACCGAGATACTCGGCCCGTTACCATCATCGCTCATGCCATCATCTTCCACAAGCACCATAGGATCTTGCTGAAGGTATTTCACGTCGAACGCCCATTGCACAAGTGATGGGGTCACTAATTCTGACAGCACAAGCGGAATAATTTGTACAAGCGCTTCATCAAACAAACACCCAAACGCCAGTTCGATCACGTTTCCAACGCAAATGGCTCGCTCTGGCCACGATAGTGCCGACATCTTCGAGTCACTGCAAAATCGATGAGCGACATTTGCCCAAAAAAGGCCCATTCTTTGAGTCGTTGCGTCACGAGAACCGTTCTCGATTGACAAGGCCGTGGTCGTTACGTAGCTCGTGATCGGCGACGTTGCCGATGATGGAGTCGGTAATAGTTTCCTCGCAAACTGTAACAAAAGACCAGCACCTCGATCGTGGAAAATGTCCGCGGCAAATTGCAGCGTCTGGGCTGCAATTCTTGCAATGACTTGCACCAACTGGTCGTTCAACACACGTGACTCGTTCTCGTGTGCCTGGTATGTGATACACGCTGTCATTGCATCAAAAATATTGTATCGTGTTGACATGCCAAGGTAATACACCACGTTTGACAGGGCTTTCGAGCCTTCAAAAGTCGGGTATTGTGACACATTTGTCAGTGTGTCCAGTAGCATCAGATACGGATTGACTGCAACTTGAGCATTGTTCACTGACGTTGGAAGCTCTTCGTGCACTAATGTCCACAAAGCGATTTCGCTCATCCTCGAAATTTGGTAAACCCATACACTGTCTTTCTCGGCAGCCAACACATTCGTAGCCAATTCGGTCAAGCCTCTTCCACTGCTCACAAGCAATAGAAAAACCACGTAATCCTGTATTTTGCGTCCAGAGGTTTTGACGTCCGTCTTGAAATTCTGCTTCGTCACGTTTCGCTTTTTTTCCGCCGCGAACGTCGTCGCCCCTCTCGGCCGCGCAAATAAAAACTGTCGTAGAATCAGCTGGAGCTGCTGTATAGGCAGCGCCGGATGCTGGATATCGGCTGTCAGCATCACCTGCTTAAGCTGATATTCTAAATTGGCCAATACAGCAGCTCGAGCGCTTCGTAACGCCCGGACACGACGATATTGGGCCTGAATCTTTATACTTGCAGCTGTGCGTAACTTGAGTGCCTGTCGTTCTTTCCTTGCCAAACGATTTGCCCGCAAGAGCTCCTCCTTCGAGCCAGACGCCGCGTCATGTTGACCTCCAAAACTTGATGTCGACGCCGTTAGGGGCTTCTTGCGACCACTGAGGTTCACTTTACGCGAAGCCTTAAAACTGCCGTCAAACATTCTGTTTTTCGATAACTGAATCGACAGCAGACGCAACGATTGTTCCTGCCGAGACAGAGATAGCGGGAGTCGAGTGGACCAGCGAAGCGAGCGATTGAGACGCTGAGGAGGGAGAATGGGGTAGCTGTTTTGACGGAACAATGGCGCGATACGTTCTTTCGAAAGTGGGGAAAGAAGTGGATTGTGCCATTTTGATCGGACTGGCTGACTCATTTTTCACAAATGAGAAGCTTCGGGTGGGAATATGGGTCTTTCTAGGCGTGCTAAAAACAGGGGCCAAGTTTGCTGAGTTTCGACTTGTAATGAATTACAAGTCAATTTGTAAGTTGTGTCGTAAGTCATTACGATCGGGCATGGTGTGTAGGCCACGACGTCGTATACTCAGCGTGTCGACTGGCTGGGTCGAATGTCTGACGTGTTCTTTTCTATTCATTTAGAAGGAAATGTAAGCTCATCGTATGTACTAGATCAGTGCTGAAAACCACGCTATTCTGTGTTAACCCTTGCGTTCAGATCATATGGTAGCTCGTAACCAAGTTTCGCAGCTAAATGCGTTTTGTCCTAGCTGTCTAAATCAATTTTGGCCGTTTGTTGCTAAACTGTACCGGGTAAGAGGCGAACAAGGGTTGGAAACCACTCGACTAGATCTAGAAGGCTTTGATCTGAGATAGGGTGTTTGCTTGATCGATTCCTAATAAGATCCGCAAACCCATTCTGTCGCATGACTCAATCATTTCTCGCAATCTAATTTCAACAACCCTCCCCGTTGTCAAGCTAAACGTTCATTTTCATGCACTTTTGATCAACCAGATTCAGGACTCTGAAAACAACCAGTCGTTGTCTCTCCACACAGCAAAGTGTTTCAAACCAGTCGAGTCGGCTCAAGCGATCTCCAGCGAACATGTCCAGCGCCTACGGCGCTACGCGAGTCGTAGGCGAGTGCGACTCTTTCGTGCCCAACTGCACCGGTCAAGGAACAACGCCCGCAAGTCCGCTGCGATCGTGGCAAGGTGTGGTGCTCGGCGCAGCGCTCGTGGTCGCAACCCTGGGCCTTGCTGCGACCGTGCAGTCGTCTCGAGCCGCTCACGAAGACCGTCTCGCCACGCTCGAGCAGCACGTGACGGAAATGTTCGTGTTTTCGGTTACATCACATGGATCCCATGCGAACCAATTTGATCGACGAAACGAAACGTGTTTATTGTTCCCGTCGTGTCCGTCGTAGCAAAGCGATGCAGGCAGCAGTCTTGACGCAGTCGCGTCTCCCACCAGTGGAACTCTACGACAGCAGGTCGCGGGCAATGACGTCGTTCGCGGTCGAGTCTGTCACGCCTCTCAAGACACAAGACGAGCGCGGGACGTGCTGGGACTTTGCTACCATAGCTCTACTGGAAAACAGCTACCGACAGCAAGGAATCGCTCGCGGATGGCTCAAGACGGACGAATATCTAGCGCTGTCCGAGCAAGCCTATGGGGCCGAGGTGCTGCGGCTATGCGCAGGTCCTGCTGACTCGCCGCAGCAAGTGGTCTGTTTGATTCCTGGAAACGGTGTCTGGAAAAACACGTCCGAAGGTGGCGACGCGACGCTGCTATTGTACTTGATGAACGGGTTAAAGGACAATATTTATCCGGACTCGATCTGTGCGTACGAGCCGTTCGACGGTCAGAACAACACAGTGTGTCCTGCACTCACGTCTGCGAAACGACAAGCGAACCCACTGCGGCTGACAATCAAGCGCATGGATACCCTCATGGATGAAGCATCGATCAAGCGTGCAATGGTGAACCACCGTCAAGTCATGTCGCTCACGACAGCTATGTCTTATACGACGCATTACTATCCTTGTATCGGCAAACTTGCTGGCGAAGAGCAGTGCGACCCTGCATCGACATCGTGCTCGCTCTGCCCACCCGAGCTGTCGATGACAACGTGCTGTGTTCCGATTGCAAAAGGAGAGGGATACAACATGAACGGCGAGTTCATCACGAGTCACGTTATGAACCCCGAGGGTGGACACGTCATGGCTCTCGTTGGCTACAATGATCTCTTCCGCGCTAGCACTAAACAGGGCTACACTGGTGGGTTCATTCTCAAAAATTCGTGGTTTGATGGCATTCACCCAGCGCTCGGACCGATGCATGCCCGAGGCAGCCATAGTCTGAAGTACTGGATGCAAGAGATTACGGAGTGGGAGGAGGCCAGTATTTGCCCCAATAGCCACAATCCCGAGAACTGGTACCAGTGTGGCAACACAGACGAAGTCGTCCGCTCCGAACGCCACGCTGATCCTGGCATGAACATTCCGTTGCCTATTGACCGCTCCACTACACCAGGAACTGGTGCGGAGTCATGTCTGTCGAAAGAGACGGAGCTGTATGCGAGGGTGAGCTTCCAGCCTCTGCACTTGCGCTGCACTGACCCGTTATTCTGCATCGTGAAGGATGATTATACGTACTTTGTGCGCAACACGACGCAGTGGGGCGACCGTATGCTGCACATGTGTTTGCTCGAGTACAACACGGTGACGAGCAAGTCGACAGAGCTATGCCTGCCCCCAATGTTGGCGCAAAAGATTGCGTACGTGTTGTCTCCCGTGGAAGAGGAGATACGTGAGAATGATCCGGACGCTTGTGGCTTCTACTTCTACCCATACGAAGTGCAGCGGCAATACAAGGCACAATTTGGCAATTTCTACGTAAACGACTTCGACATTGAGTGGCACGCGCAGTCATACGCAGCAAACAAGGCGATGTATCCAGATCTGGACTACAGCGACGTGGAAAAGTCGACGCGCAAGCAGAGCCAGTATGAGTTCGTCGGTCCTTTTCCGTTTGCTCACATTGTCGACAAGAAAGACCTGCCGAGCATGAACGAGGAGTAAGGCGCTACACGAGAGGCACAAAAAGCGCCACGCAAGGGATGTATACCGGTCAAAGGAGGAAAGGATAGTGCGCAGGTTCTGCGACGATCTGTTGTCAAACGATGTACGTACGTTGCAGTCCCCTTGCTTGTTTGTAGGATCCAACAGACGTTATCGGTTAGTATAGTACTATACTAACCGAGAACGTTTGTTGGATCCTGGTATACCTATCTGCGGTCGGATCTGTTTGAAGTAAACTTGAGGATTGATTACAATCGATGACCGTTTGTCGCGAGTACTGACGGTATGAACGGTGGAGCACAGATCCCGCTGGTGCTGGTCCGTCGTAACATCGAAGACCTGTCGTAAGCAAATAACAATTTGAATGCGAGTCGTGACATCATGCAAGCTGCGGAATGTTCCGTGTTTTTTGCGCGTGCTTTCGGGACCACATGCGCCTTCTTGGTGTTCCGTATGCTACAACAGGAGCAAGAAGTAACATCGAGATCGTGCAATGTCTGCGAAAGGTACAGGTTTCGGCTTGGTTCCCGTTCGTTGCGGGACGAAGTCAGCATGCCGGTACGAATGTGGACAGTACAGACTGATGAGCACCAGCTTTGCGACGGCAAGCTGGTGCGAGTTACTGCCAACACGGGAATGAAAGCAACTGTGACGATAGCAAGAGAAGAGGATTTACGCCCCGCAGGCACGACGTGGGGCGATAACAACGTCAAAGCATCACGAGTTCTTTGCTTTCGAGCATCGTTTTTTACAGAGCCAAGCATTGGGAAGTGGCCAACGCCACGATGCACACGAAAGCAGCATCGTGGCTGAAGGATTGCTTCTTTGTAGTCCCGTGGCGTCAGATCGGCAGAGACGTTGTACTTGACCCGTACATACACCTAGTATCAGCACGAGGTCCGGGGTAGACTCGGTCGTGTCCGGGAGGCTGGGTCACCGTTCGATGTTTTTTCACGAGAACTTTCCCATACTCCGGAACATGCGTGGGTTATCGCTCAAGCTTTACTCGAGGTGCGCGACAGAACACCGGAGGCTCGTGACGTCTGCCATGATGCTTCAACCGAACTCTGGCGCTTCGTAGTGTCGATTACATTTCACGCCATATGGTTGGAACGGCTCAACCGGATCGGGGATCCTACAAAGTCAGAGGAGAGCCACCATGCGGTTGCCCAATCCAAGTTGCGTAGAGCTCTCTTATGCGTCCGCAATTCCACCTGCCAACCTGGGGGTGGTCAATGGGAATACGTGCTGGCGAGAGTGCGCTCAGCATTGGCTGATAAGCTTTTGCAACACATTGAGCCTCCATTCCTGCTGCCACCTGCTCTACCGACCTCTGCAACGGACCCGTTTTTGCTATTCTTCGATGGTCGGTCACGGGGAAACCCCGGCCCAGGAGGCTCAGGCTCCGTTATTGTACGCGTCCAACCACAGACACATGCCGCTACTTTCGTCTAGATGGCTCGTATCTCTCTTGAAGCGAAGACGACGACAAGCATTTCTGCCGCATATACCGGTCTTATTCATGGACCACGGCAGGCAAAACACGGCGAATTTCTACCGTTGCATGTCATCGGGGACAGTGTTCTGGTTATCAACCAACTCCGGGGTAATCGCCCCCCTCTCAAGCCGCACCTCGCCGCATGGTACCGAAAAGCGCGAGCTCTTGCTGACGATGTCTCAGTCGCCAGCTGGGCTCCCCATATCCGCGATTATAACAGGATGGCTGACCTTGCAGCGAGCATTGCGATGCATGCCAAGGCACCTCTTCAGGTTCACACACACACACACACCTATAGAAGCACCGTTTCGGACATCACACGTCACATCCAGCACGACGTCAATCACTGGCTCGAGACATCGGCCGAGCTCAACGGTGGATCGACGCCCCGCAACAAGCAGACTGTCCGCGAGCGGGCATTGCCAGCACAACAAATGATAGCCAGGAGAACCGCTCTTCGCGCGGTGGCGCCCTCGTTCACCATAGATAGCAACCCCGGATAGTTAACTCTCTCTGGCACGGGTATTGTTGGTCGATAACGTTTTCCAATATACCTCACCTTCAACAACAATAGTAGCAGCACGACCAGTTCACACCTTGGACTCGTCTCTTACCGAGAGAATGAAGTCGAGTGAGTCGATTTCCAGCTTGTCCGATTTCTCATTGACAAAGCAGTGGTGGCAGATATCTCAGTTGGCAACACGCTCGACCTGGTCTCCCAATCGTCTCAACAGGCCCGTCGAGAGAGCGCCGGACGACTCCTAGACAAAACGAGTTGCATTTTTGTGGCCATCGATGCGAGTAGTGAAGCCCTTGATGCAGCGAAAGCACTTCCACGGCTGCATCAACGCCTACAGGTGCCAACGTCCCGCTTTATTCCGCGTCTTGAGCAAATGTAGAGTCTGAAGTCTTGACCTCAGCAAGAATGCCCAGAGGTATCGCTCGCAAATTGCCCGAACAGATCAGCACAGAGCTGCGGTCTGGGGATCGGTACGTCGTCTCGTCATTTTGATTGCTTCTGCACGCAGTGGTTCGATAACTCGACAATCTCGGGTGAAGTTGGCGCGAGACTTGTCAGGTGTGTCTTTGTAGGTGGATAGTTCAAGGCCATTGCCCGTCCACTCGACGAGACGGTGTTCTTCGAGAGCGGGTACATGGGAAGTCTGGCGAAACGCCGGCTCTTGTAAGCAAGATGAGACAGCTCGTCCAACGAGCGCATAGTGGAGGCTTGATGAAGCGTGCCACCGACGTATTGCCGTCGAATCGCGACAGTCGATTGAGGCGGTGTCAGGAGCTGATGTCAATCGACAAAGACTCGAACAATTTGATCGACTGGATAAGACTTGCCGGGGCATACATCTTGGCACGTTGAGGAGGTCTATCGATGAGGCTGTGCCCTGCCGACAACTCACGTGCGGTCGTCAGAACCAACCTTTGTTCATATCGTATCGTACAAGATCCTTTTTTATTCGAGTGCAGAATCTTCAGACAAAGGAGTGTTAACCTTGGGACGCTTGAGGCCTCCTTGCAGTCCAGAGCACATGTGGAAAACGTGAAGTCACGTCAGCAACCTCCTGTTGCATGGCACCGACACCGTTGAGTTTGTTGGAAACTGGATGCAAGTCAACGGTGGGCAATGAAGTAAAAGGTGGCGGTTGACAATACTTTTACAGGGAAGGTTTATCTGGAAGGTATTTCGTAGAAGATTCCTCCTGACATGAAGACATGCATTGAGTAGACTCAGTCCAAAAGTTTCCCTCCAGTAAACAAGTTGTTTGTGAGTGCGTAGCCATTGTTTTCCTTTATCCATACTCTATTAGGGTTATGAGCCCAAGGACGACCTGCTATTAAGAGAAGCGCTACACAAGACTACACTACAACAACTATACCATGTATTCCTCATCGGACTCTGAGGACGGCAAGAGAAAAAGACACAAGGAGATTAAGTTGGGATCGCAAGGCACTCCAGTTAATTGGAATGGAGAAGACTGGACCTTCTACAAGCACGCGATGCTCAACGCATTCGAGCAAAACCTACTCGATGAGATCGCAGCAGGAGGCGTTGTGGAGGACGCATCCTGGAATCAAGCCAAGAAGGACAAGTTCAAGAAGAGTCAAGCCGAGGTGAAGATTCTTATTCAAGGCTCGTTGTCGATGAAGCTGGCCAAGCAGGTGATGTCGAAGAAGACAGGAACCGAGATGTGGCACGAGCTCTGCTCAATTTTTGAAGGGAAGCAAAACTCAGCCATGATAGCGCAGAAAGTGTACCGCCTCCAAAGCGAGCTACACAGGACCCATTTGCGTCCAAATGGTGACGTGAGAAGTCATTTGTACACTTTGTTCGACATCAAAGACCAGCTCGAGGACTTGAATTCTCCTGTAAATGATTTACAGATGGTGGACATGATGCTGCGCAGTCTCCCGACGCAGATGTGCTATAATGAACTCAGAAGAAAGGTATTATTTAGCTCAAATATGAGTAAATATACGCCTGAGATAGTTCGCGAGATGATATTCACCGCCGAGTCGCGCAGTAAAGACTGGGAAAGCTATGCATTCGGGAGCGCTCAAGGCAAGAAGAAGCCAAATGGTCCAAATACTGGAACGAGAGGTGGCATGAGGCAAACCTTGAGAGACGATAAGACGAGAAAAATCAAGAATCATGATTTTGAGTGTCATCATTGTGGAGGTAAAGGCCATTACAAGAGAAATTGTCCACAATTGATGAATGAAGAGAAGTCGCGTGGAAGAAAAAGTGCTCACGCAAAGTACGCCAACTCTGGTAGCAAGACGAAAATGGAAGAGAAGGGCGAGCCTTTATTGCAACGCAAGGTGCAAGCAGATAAGCGTGACGTGGTGATAGGAGAAGCTACAAAGTTGACGTCAAAGGATTCAACTTCTAGCAACTGGTATTTCGACACGGGTACAAATGCCCACATAGTGTCCTCCAAGGAATACTTTACTGTACTACAGAGTATGGAAGACATTGACTGGAATCCAATGATATCCGGAATCACACACAATGGAGCGAAAGCAAAAGCTGAAGGATTTGGTACGATTATTCTTGCAACAGTTGTTGATGAAGAATTGGTAACAGTGTTCGTAGAAGACGTTCTCTACGTCCCTCAAGCTGGATGCAATTTGTTTTCGCCTGGTTTGGCTATGGACCAAGGATTCAGCATGTCATGGGACCCGAATGCTAAGATATTTACTATGACGAAAGACGATATCGAGGTGATACGGACACATCGGAAGCACCGCCTATGGACGTTTACTGCTCAAAATGCAAATAATACTGCACAGCACAAGAAAAACATTACCACGAAGCGACAAGTTATTGCTAACTTTGCAGTGACTGATGGTGTGGAAGATATCGATGTCTGGCATGAACGACTGGCACACACGTGTCCAGAATATATCCGGTTGATGGTTGATCGTGGCCTGGCAAAAGGTATCATGCTAAAGAGACGTGGGAAATTCGATTGTGTAGACTGTCATGTTG